GTTTACCCCGAACTCCAGAACAACCTCTGTACTACAGACTTTATCAGCATGCCACCTAAAGCCCTCGCATTCGTTGAATTGGAAACAACTCGCAGGGACGCACGTGCGCCCATGGTTCCTGTCCTTGTTACGGCAGCGCCTAATAGTGAGGACATGTCTGTTCCTTCAAGAAACAAGACAATGAAGCCTCTTTAGAAGGGACTGGTAACCCCTTGGCCGGCGCACACTATTCCCCTTTCTTGGCTTGGGAAATGAGTTACCTCCCTCAGCGAGGCAATTAACCCTTGTTGGGGATAGGGAAACCGGAAAGTTGGTGAGGACAAGCTTGCCGACAGCTACAAGGGCTCTCATGCGCCGGCCACCAGAAGGAGGACAACCCCTGGATACCCTCTATGAGCCAAGGACGCCGACGACCAAAGGCATAAGCGTCTACCCTTTGTTATTTGCCTATGTAGCGGACAGTCCCTCTGCCCGACATTTACGCGTTATTGCTAACGGAGCAGTAAAGTGTTGTTTTGTTGACCTAACCTGTTGCCTTATTAGCCCGAACTCCTGTAGCTATGATGACTTGAGCTGCGGGAAGGGGTCATTAATCATGCATGGTACAACTGCGTGCAGCTGAAAAATTAGCTAGACTTTAGCGTCAGCCGTACATAGAGCGGACCTTCTTCAAACTTCACCCGTGTTTGATGGTACTATGTCGTCGTGCTTAGTTCTGATGTCCTTCTGGCATGCGACATCACTGTGCCACACTGCGTCGTAACTACCATCGCTATCTGGACGTAGCTTCTCATTATAAATTTTGAATTTATGTGGCAAGTGCTGCCTTAAGGCATCTTGTTTGCCACACTGTAATACTTGTCAGACGACCATATCACCATTTTCTAGCAGGTGTGTGCTCAGATCTTCCTTGTCACTCATCGGAGACACCACATGTCTTGATATGACATTATGCCCCATTATCGGCCCGGACCTCAAGCCTGAGTAATCTGCAGCCCTAAGCCGTTTATTGGCTTTTTACTGCGACATCTTCAACATTGAAAATTGACCATTGGGCCAGACTTCTTTGGTGAAGCACTGCATCAACAGAGGTGACGCTGTTCCTATTCACCAGTGAATGTATCGAGTGCCTGCATTAAAGCACAGGGTTATTCAAGAAGTGAGCAAGATGCTAACCAAAGGCATTATTGGTTAGCATCTTGCTAACCCTTTATCAGGCCTTTATCAAGCCCTTAGGCATCGCCCGCCGTCCTTATTAAAGAGAAATACACCACAATGCGTTTATTCGTTGTTTAACGTAATCGAAATCGCTGCATTAAGTTGTTGACACTCTTGGTTGCTTACACGGTGCTTTATACTTTTCATCAATAGACCTTTGCTCCGGTTATTTGCAGATCGCTGTTGATTAGAGAGACGAAGAGAAGACTGGGTTCATGACTTTTGATTCTTGTACCAATCCAAAGTTGTGCCATTTGGTCTCTGCAATACTCCAGTCAAGTTTGAGTGCATGATGGATTCTCTGCTACACGAGTTTCAGTGGTCAACATGCCTGTGTTACCTAGACAATGCCCTCATATTTTCGCCTATATTTGAGAGCCGCTGGGAGCGTCTGTTGGCTAATGTTTGTCTTCTGCAGCGCTGGCCTGCAATTGAACTGGTGGAAATGCCAGTTTGGCCAGCGGCAGGTTACACTGTTGGGCCATGTGGTAGATGCTTCAGGTATGCGCCAGACCCAGAGAAAATATGCGCAGTCGCCAGTTTTTCTGTATCTCAGTCAGTTGAAGATGTCCGGATTTTTAAAGCCAAACTCCATAAGCGCGAAAGTGCACGTGACAGCAACGAGCGAACATTTGTACGTCGTGTTGCCTGTTCGTTTTTGTGCAGATTTGAAAAACTTTGCCCATTGCACAAGTGCTGTGCTCACAGCACAGGAACTACATGACTGACGTTCTGTCATTTGTGTTGAAGCGCTACGAAACCACGACCACGTCCCTGCACGAGTCATGTGTTTGCAACAAAGAAATAACGTAATGTTTATGCTTGTGCACATAAGATAAAGGTGCTACAAGGCAATAATAAACACCTTCCGTTTATAAGGCAACGATACATTTTATTTTTACATTGCATACCGCTGACTACACAGCTTTTTGGTACAAGTTCAGTGTACTGTAGGTACAAGTAAACTGCCTCATGCCAGCAACAGTGGAGTTCGCTTGCTGAAGCCGTCGCATGAATGAGGTTTGCCTGTGCAAGCAACTGCTCGAGCGAAGGCGATCTATGTCGCGTGCATTTTTGCAATTATGGGGTTTGGCCTTGATGGGACTCTGTTCCTACCACAGGTGGTTTGTGAAAAATTTGCAGTGTTCCACTGAAGCAGTGGCTTTTCTTTATCTTATCACAATTTTGACGACACCCTCTATATTAGCTCACTCTGACACTTTCGCTGCGACAGAGGTTCAAACCGATGCCAGTGGTCACAGGATTGAAGCCGTCCTCGCTTTACACCAACAGGGATACGACCGCGTTATCGCTTGTACTAGCTGCCTCCTTACACCGGCAGAGTGTAGCTATTCCATTACAGAGCTGGAATGCCTTGCTCTTATCTCGGCAGTCTTCAAGGTCTGCCCATATTCATATGGCACACATTTCTCTGTAATCAGGGACCACAATGCGCTCAGCTGGCATTCATCACTGGAAGATCCTACTGGCCAGCTTGGTCACTGGGCTCTGCAGTGCTGTACAAGTCTGCATGTCTACATCAAGACACTGACTGCCTATTTTGCAATCTGGTCAGTCGATCGAGCATCATTTCTGACTCCAACGCTTGCATCCCCTTCATTTCCCAGCTGACCCACATTGCCGACAAGTAAAGCCACTGTTGCGTGCTACCATAGAATGCTCTGAATAATTATCTTCGAAGTGGTCTTATCACTGGTTCACACTCCAAGATAATGCACTATACCGCCCCTAGTATCACTCAGACAGAACAGCCCTGCTGCTTGTTGTATCAAAACATCTTTGCTCGACTGTTCTCTATGAACTTTACAATGTTCCACCTGCCAGTCACCTTAGTGTGTCGCACACATACGACCGTATCTGTTGTCGCTCCTTTTGGCTAGGGCTTGCATGCTCTATCATGTGAGACGTTGGAGCGTGCGAAAAATGCCAGCTCTTCAAAACACCATGTCTCTTCCCACTGAGTGCCATCAGCCATTCAACATTTCATCCAAACTATTTTCCCCTTTAGCTTAGACTTATTTGGCCCTTTTCCCATGTCTTCCTCTGGCATCAAGTCGATAGCTGGGGCCACAGACTGTGCCAAGTGGTACGCCATTACACGAGCTCTTCCAACAAGTTGCGCACAGATGTCGCTGATTTTCTTCTGCACAATGTGACTCTGCAACATGGGAATTAATGACAGATGCCTACAGACCCTGGCTGCTCTTTTCTATAGAATCATAGTGGACATGCTGCAGTCCTGTGCAACGAGGCACTAGTTCATTGTGTTGTACCATTCATGGACAAATGGCCTCACACAGCATTGAACTGAACACTTACAAACAAGCTTGCAATGTATGTTTCCTGAGACCACTTGGACTGAAACCTTGCTCTTTCATACATGGCATTTGCCTACAATTTTCACCCCATGACACTGCCAGTTACACTTTTTGCTATTGTTCGGTCCAGAACCAACATTGCCCCTCATTCCGTTTCTGGCAGCACCGACCAACGAATATGCCCCTGGCCCCATTACCCAAGCTGCGCATGCACGGGAAACAGTTCGTACTCGCCTTCTCACCTCCCAAGAGAACCAATGTCATTTGTACAACCAGCGGCACAGAGACATGAACTTTACACCCAGTTTTTTGGCTGTGCTATCGGAAAAACGGTTCTCACAGTACTCAGGCCCATTTTGTGTCCTTCATGCAGGGACTCCCGTAACATACAAAATTGCTCCTGTTACGTCGCCATCTCTATCTTCCCCCGTAGGTCAGCGATATTGTTACACGTTGCATGCTTGAAGCCGTACAGCTCCCCCGGTGACGTTGATGTATAGACGTGCCGGCGCATCTGCCACTGAGGATCGTGCTACATGCATAATGCCAACTGCGTGAACCACGCGCATCTGTGCCGGTGGAAGCGAATGAAGATCTCTCGCTATTGAACTGTTCAGCTGCGACTTCTGTCATGAATATGTCAGTAGCCTATGGTGCTACCAACTTGTCATTCACGTAACAATATCACTCTTAACTCTATAGAACACTGGTGTAAGAGAATATGGCTGCTTCAGGGAGAGAGGCTCTTTCTGTTCAGTCTCTTTACATTGACAGTTCAGCTCGTCGAAGGGTATACGGGTCGCCCTCTAATGACTACCAAGTTATCACGCGTGCCAGAGATCATGACACACCCTTAGAATCGAAGTTGACATTTGCTGCTTGTGCGAACCTCCTTCCACTTGCGTCTCTTCATGCCCAATCAAAACTGGTGAGGCGTTTCCTCTTTGCTTCGACAGCACGCCCCCTGGGTGGGGTGATGTTATCACGTTCGCTCTCTGAACAATGGAGATGGCCCGGCTCATTTTATCTCTTTTTCAGCTGCATTCGTTGCTTCTCCTCACGCACGTTTACCTGCAGTACAATATACAACGCGCTCAATTAGGACTTTATACAAATCAAGAAGGCCTAGTCTGTGTCGTACCACCAGCTGCTGTAAAAGCCTTGTTCACCACGCCTACTGTGGATGTTTGATGCATGTTTGTAAGCCAAGGAGGTTATCTTGTCAAATTACTTTACATGTGCCTTTAATATCACTGGGCTGAGGCAGTTGCCACATGGCTGATCAGCCTCTGATTTCTGTGGGAAACTGCAGTTAGCAGCCTGTTTCAACATTTTTCTGCCATGCAATTGGGTACAAAAAGAAAAAAAATAGGCTCTCTTTTTACTTGCCTATCAAAATTGATTTTCAATCTGCAATTTTTTTTGTTTTTCCTCGCCCCCTAGCAAACCCTGTGCTTGAAGCATTTGGAAATGCGAAAACCATGAGAAACAACAACAGCAGCCGTTTTGGGAAATTCATTGAGATCCATTTCAACAGCAAGGTATTTCCTGCATATCTTTCTTTTCTGGGGCTATTTGGGCTTCAGCCCATGAGACTTTTTTTTTCTCTAATGAGAAAGCATTGTCAAAATGTAGACTTGGCCCATCTCGACTTGTGAATTGAATATAGTGATGCATGATGCGGAAGATTTCAGTCTTGTGCCAAAAACGGTAAAAGATCACTCTCCTCTTTACAATGTCGTTAGCGAATGGGCTTTAGCTACTAGTTTTTTCTGGTATTCTCAGTAAACAATACTGTTACTGCTGTAAAGGTGTTTATTAGGATCATGCAAATAATAAATTTTAGATTCAAAATGAATTCAAAGCAAATAGGGATCTGGTTGAATAATTTTGTATCGAATTTTTATAGCCTGTATTGCATATTACTAAAGATAAATTGAGCACATTTATCATGGCCCAATCAATTTACACAATAATTTTTTAACAATGAAAAGTCTTGTGCAAGTACCATTTTTTTTTTTGGTTCAGAGGAAGTGGAAAAAACTTTTAAAAGTAGCAGACTTTGGTCGAATGTAAGAAGCTATAAAATATAAGCTTTAAAATTTTCTATTGAAGGCTTAAAGCACGTTATTTTTAACTGTTCTCTCGAAAGTAGGATTATTTACCTTCTTCAGTACAATGTCTTAACTGTTCATAACCTCTTTCAATTTAATTCATTTATGTTTTTCAATGAACAAATAAGGAGTAAACTTCCTGCTCTTAGTTAAACTAACGTTGCCAGGTTTACAGCTAGCAATAACTTTTTACTTACTAGGGTTCATATTAGTTGTGGTAAATCATCTTCACACATCTGTGCCATCTCCTTGTGGAATAATTTGCTTACATCATTAAAATGTAAGATTTTTTTTTTTATTCAAAAGCTTATCAAATGATCATTTTTTAAATACTTGATCTGTCTTTTTTCTTTATTTGTACCAGATTTGTGAAGCTTTATACTGTATTTGTTATTATTTATTGAGTTTTATGCCTTTTTGTTTTTTAATTGTGCTTTGTGTATTGCAAGGGACATAGAAGAAAAAACGAACTCATTAGCGATTGAAACGAAACTTTCACACACAGGTGCTGTTATTGACAACACAATACATAGAGAAAGGTGTAAGGTTGTTTCTCGGGAATGGTGACACTAGGAAAAAAAAATAGAATACACAATCATTGTAAGTCGCCTTTCACATTTTCCTGTCCTTAGCTTGTTTTGTTTTTACAGCTCAAACGGCTGTTAATTCTTGTGTTATATGAATGATCGCCAAGAGTTCTGCTGCAGTTCCTTGTACTTGGCGACCCTCATATGTATGTTTCACACCTTATAATCATCCTTTTATGTCATGGTAATAAAACAAACTGATTGATTGATTGTTAAATAGAAAGAAGTTGTAATAAGCTGTCAAACTTAAACAAAAATTGGTGAATCGATGTGAAGGGAATATGTTCATTTAACCTTAACGGGGGCTTTGTAGTAGTGCGGTTTTTCTTTGGAATGTTATTGTCACAGTACAACAACCCTCCACTGCACTGAAATTACTTTTGCATGGATATACACCTATTTTTTCATTTCAAATACTTCAGAATTTCCAATCATTTAAATTCTAATCGAATCGAATTTTAATACTCAAATATTTGTTTGAATATTTGCACAAGCGTAGTGTTTATTTGATGGCACTCGGTAATGATGTGCAATGGCGGCAGTCGTGGCAAAGCGCAAACTACCAGAATGAGCGGTGTTCTCACACAAAGGTGTCGCAGAGGATGATTATACCGAAAGGCTCTGGATAAGGAGACCCGTGGCAGAGTTACAAGGCTTGGTTACACGGCTAATTTTACAGCGAAAGCTGTTATGAGATCACAACATGGGTCAAGCGCAGCGGCGTGGTTTTCTGCCGCCGGTGTTTCTAACCACTACCGCACCAAATAAGAAAAAAAAAACGCTGTAAATAAGAAACGCTCATGACAAACTGGGTCTCAAACCCAGGTCCACTGCGTACCAGCCCAGTATTCTACCGCTGAGCCACGCCAGTTCTTTGGCTGCTCCTCTAGCTTTTGCTGCGACTGTGCTGCACCTTCCACACAGGCCTGGTGTTCTTTTAATTTAGTAATGGATAAACTTGGATGTTGGTGATGTGAAATAGGCTAACTGTATGGGTAATTGTTCTCTCTTCATGAATGATTGTCCGATAGAGTGTTTTGTATTCTCCTAACATGAGGTGGTACTTGGCACAGTTAAGGCCCAGAATAACTCAGTCTGCAAGGAGACTGAAGAATTCATGAAATAACACTGAGCATAAGGTTGGCAAAATGAAAATTGAATGCCAAAATTCAGTTAGCTCACTTTGTTGACCCTATGTGTTTGAAGCACATATATGTGTTTGAAGCACATATTTTAGTAGTTTGGTTTATCTAATAAATCAATTCTTCTCATCAGGTGCGCTGCTCGTCTCATCAGTTGTGATCATCTTAAACAGCACGAGAAATGCTGTGAGCAACCTTGTGGTTTAGGAAACTATACTCACCATATCTCTATAGCGTGCATGTCATTATTTTTAAGTGGCACGGAAACCCCGCAAAGTTCTTCTTGTATTAGAGTATACTTGGTTCAAAGTACTACTTGTATTTAAATAGCAGGGGTCATATTCACTCAGCACGATTTAGGGGACCTTGAATGGTTTATACAGATTTTTTTCTAGATGCGGGCTTTTTTCATCCTGCTCCAAATTTGGATTTTAGTGCTCCAAAAGTAACATTCTACTGCTCTTAAAATTGCTTCAAATTCTGTTTCGGCTGTTACGCCCCTGAGCATGGGTAATTTCCGCGTCCGAACATTAGGAACAGGCTGACTTGGGCAGCATTGACATGACGAATGCAAAGATTAAATGTCAGTGTTCCAGCAGTGATTGAACCCCAGCATACTGCATGGCAATCAAGTATTCTATTAGAGAGCCTGCAAGGTCTCGGAACTACTTTTTAAACAGACCCTAATGTTCGTGACATGTCAATTGTGGTTACAGTGCTGGCCATCCAATTTTAAAAACATTACATATGTACTCCTATGCTACAGTCATCACATTGGGTTTATGTCACTTGGAGCTGGCCTCATCCGCTGAAGTTGATTTATGTAGCAATGTCCAGGGCTACCATCCTTGCGAGCACCAGCGTTTCATATCGGCTTACTGCTTCTGGTGTTAGTAATATTGTCACGTAATAATATTGTGTTAGTAATAATTGCCAGAAATTTATGTCAGTTATTCAATCGACTACTATTGCCAGGAGTCAGGGAAAATTTATTCTACAAAAAGTATTTCCAATAGCATGCTGCATGTTTTAAGTGTCAAGATGGCCTTCTCAGCCAGTTGCCAGCAGCTTTAGTTTGCTTGTATCGCCATATCAGACACAGGGTCGCATATAGTGCCACTAGTCGCTGCTATGGGCCTCCCAACCTCAGCCAGGGTGCCCTGCGCCACGCGCGTTTCGCCGCCTTTCTGCCATAAGTTGGTTGCTCGATACCCCACTCTCGCCTTCAACCTGCACTATCTTAGCACGTTCACGCACTCTGCATGCACTGTTTTCTGGTCGCCCTTCACGTGCAGCGTCATCTGTGACTTGCTCCGAATGTTTAAAAAAAATTATAAAAATGTTTTTACGGTGTGAACATTATCAGAAACGAGAGCGATTGATTGACAACCTTTGGGGCACCAAGCAAGTCAGAGACGTTGTCTCTGAGTGAGTGCTATGTTAATGTGGATGGTGAACAGCTGCATTTCTATGCCATTACAAGTGAAGTGATGGCTTATTCTTTATGTCTGTTACCAGTAAAATGCACATTTGCTGCGGCATTCGTGTCTTCTCGGAGTTGTCGTCAAACTACCATCATGCTTTCGCGTGCATTTGTGTATAGCGTTTGGATTTATATTGCTTGAATGCCAAGTTTGTCATGCGGCTTTCAATGTATTAGGCGGTGAGTGTGAGGAGACTAAACGTGCATCTGCCCTGTTCGGTCCCTGGCACCATTTCAATGCGGTGTGCTCAGTTTCATAAGAGTTTCGCTCTTTTCAAGGTATTCATCGAATGTTAACAAGGTCGTATCGTAAGTTCAATGACACCTTAGATTTTTTGCTGCTCCTTTAAAAAGTATAATGATGTGCAGAAAAAAGTATGTTATGTTCATTTCGACCATGCATGTTTCTTGCAGTGCGTGTTTGATTTCGGATAATATCCACGCTTGATCATGCAGCGTATTCACTGATTCGAATGTCAAGTAGGCTGTTTGGACAGCTCACTTGGTCGTCGTCATATCACACAATACATAGTAGGCCCGCGGCTCATGTGCATGCAAGGACATGATATTTTACATGCCAAAACCTTCATATCATTAGGAGGCAGGCTGTGGTTTGAGACTCCAGATTGATTTCGGCCACCTGAGGGTTTTTTTTTTAATGTTCACCTAAATCTATTTCAAGTGTATACAACGCGATGACAACGGACAGAGGGTGCACACACCCCAAGCGTCACTTTTGTTTACATTGACCGTCATACCACTGTACGCTTGAAATATGCAACACCAACACGCCCTGTCTATCATTTCTTGCACCAAAGTCTGAGCGCACTGTTACTGTGCTTCGCTCCCGTGGAAATGCATCTGGCTTATGAGGGAATCGAACTCATGACTTCGATCCTAGCATCACAACACCTCATTGTGCTAACTTATCGGTGGGTGTACTTTGCAAGACCTGTACGTATAAATGCTCAGCGCGAACCCGCAGCACAAATCTGTTTACACTGAGTGGTGACGAGAAGTTTACAACCATCAGCTGAATAAAACATTTGCAAGACTCACAGTACAGTATTTTAACAGTGGTGTATTAAGCTAGCAAGTTCCACCGCTTTCGCACTACGAACAGTTGTCTTGGAAAGCCAGGGCCCAATCATGAAATGTACAGCGGATGCCTATTTGCTGTAGTTTTGCATTAGAAACCGTAAAACTTGATGAGCA